TCACAGTTTTGTCACTTTGGATATAAGCGGCTGATGCATCGACTGCTGCAGCTGTTTCACACTGACTAAATCTACATGGAATGCATCATTTTGATTTGAGATCATCGTATCAAACCGGATGTACGGCATTTCAGATGATCCACAAATACAATCTGTCGAACATTTTGTATTTTTTTTATATTTCAAGAATATCTACTGTAATGGATGTTAAGAGTTACATTTTAATTAATGACCAGAGATATTAATGATCCATATCTAGTATGGACCCCATCTCTGGACACTGGGCTTTTTAGATCAGAAGAGTGGTTCTTTTTATTACAGTGAAATTTAATACACTTTGCATGAACTGAGAGACAAGAGAAGAGAGAGAGACCTCCAAACGTTTAAGCAAAATTTATTATCTAAATGATTTTTATACAGTTTAACAGGACTAACTCGCTATGCTCATGGAATGAATGTGAGGTGGAGTGTGTGTTGGTGTGATGTCAGTTCAGAACCTCTGTTCTGGAGAAGCGAGTCTGAGTGGGAGATGTTGTTTTGCTCCTAACTGATCAACGTTTGAACCTTGGTCAGAAAACAACATGAGACGCTATCTGTGCCGTTCTACATTACCCGTCAGTGAGACCTCCATCTTAGATCAGGCTGCCAGGTTCACGACCTTCCAATGGTACTGGAGCTGATGAAACAGCGTCCTCAGCATGACAAACCAGTCTTTGGATAGTCTCCAGGTAAAAAGCGGCAGGTGTTTCACAGCGTCAAAGGGACCCCCGTTTGGGTCAGCGAGTTCAGCTTTTATTCTTTTTTTTTTTCAGCTTTTATTCTGAAGGAACCGTTGTTTTGTTGATAACAATGACAGGATTTCCCAGCTTGGCAGTTCTCAGCTTAAAAGTAAAAGGTACAGATGGCTGGTCCGTACTCCACTTAGCAATGATGAACTTCAGGGGATCTTGAGAGCTGGCTGAATACTGAACTCAAAATGGCATTGTTCTGTTTTATTAATCTTGATGTTTACGATTCTGGACAAATCACAGCTGATAGATTAAATAAACACCACAGAGACTCTGCCACGCTTCAGAGTGAAGGTTCTGATTGGATTTGCGACCGGAACGTGTCATGATTATTTATCTTTTGTGTATCAGCTGACTAGTGGCTACAATACGTCATTTCCTTATTAAACATTAATCATAACATTGTGATTTCACAGATTGGTCACATGGTTATTATTGACTAACAGTTGTTTTGATTAGCTTTATTAAAACAGAGTTCTTTGATTAACTAAAAGAAAAGAGTTCATTCTTCGTTCTTCTGTCTTCACTGCTGGAATGTAAACGTTAGAAGTGAATGCATGACCTTGAGGCTGTTTCATGCACACTGACACTGTGTCAAACAGAACAGCTGTTGGAGGGGAGAAATGGCTCCTTCATCACTTTACACTACACTTTCTAAATTTGAGTGTGTGCAGCTATATTCACATTGATTAATAGTTTTTGTGCAAATGTAATACATAAATTATGGAAAGCAGTGCGTCTGGAGACAACCGCTTGAGTATCTGCTTGAGCTTTCTGAACGGGAAGCTAAACTGAAACATTTTTGGGATGTCTCCTTTGTGGACTTTAGCCTGACCTCTACCGTTTTTGTTAATGGATTTCATCATTGCAAAGAAAATCAACTTTCCTCGCTATCATATAACCGTAATTATCAGAAGACATGAAAGCTACTTGGAAGAGCTGCTATCAGCTGATATTCAAGCACTCTTATTGTTGGAGCTTTGCTTCCAGCAGTATTGTATAATCATGTTGAAAACTTTTGATATTTCGTCAGTAAGCTGACATACTTTCATCGACAAATTCAATTCTGTTTGACTTGTTTTTGTTTTCTTTAAGAAAACAAAGTCCTGGTTTTGTTGGCCTGCTGGTGGTGCTTTGACCTAGATAGGTAATGAGATTATTGAAACATTTTTGAACAGCAGGACAAGGGGCTACTTCAAAGAAAGATATTTATCAGAATATTTCTCACCTTCAGATAAGTCAAGCTTCACCCCCTTACCCGGTTCTCAGTCTTACCTCGCTCGAGTTGAAGCTATCGTAGATTCCAGGAAAAGAAGAAACACGACGCGTAGTAGAACAGTTGTTGGAGTCAGCTGAGGTCATAACGTCATCCCCTCTGCCTCCTCCAAGAGGTGAATCAGTACCACAGTTGCAAAAGAACAAAGACATATTTACTGAGTGAACCTGCCAGAGCCTTGGAACTGGACCCAAACTCAAGTATTTTATTAATATGTTTAGGTTTGCATTTTGATGTAAAGTCATTACTTCATTTTTTTCCTGAACAATGACAAGCCTAAATGAAACACATTTATTATTTTATATAAGGAGTGAAAAGTACAAGTAATTGTGTGAAAATGTATGGAGTAGAAGTAAAAAGATCCAGTGAAGTATAGAGACCCCAAATGTGAACCCCAAAGAAGAAGAAGAAGAAGAAGAAGAAGAAGAAGAAGAAGAAGAAGAAGAAGAAGAAGAAGAAGAAGAAGAAGAAGAAGAAGAAGAAGAAGAAGAAGAAGAAGAAGAAGATGATCTTTTCTATAGCGCCTCTCAAGATAAAAATTACGAGGTGTTTCACAAAAACAAAACATGTAAAATATAATAAAGAATTTAGAAAATGATTAAATACATTTAAAATAAGGAAAAAAATTGACAATTGTGATTACAAAATGTAACGAAAGAGAGAGAGAGTGAATAGGAAAGAGGGAAGTCAGTGGATCTTGAGGAAGGTGGAATAGGTGGGGAGAGCAGAATAAAGAGAGGGTGATGAAGGTCATACAAAAGCCAGCCTGAACAGGTGAGTCTTCAGCTGCTTTTTAAAGGAGACCACTGAGTCCACTGATCTCAGGCTCACGGGGGAGAGAGGTCCAGAGTCTGGGGGCCACAGCAGCAAATCATCTGTCACATTTGATCTTTAGCCTGGTGTGCTGCACAACCAGTAGGCTTTGATCACTGGACCTCAGGGATCGAACCAGTGATTTACAGCCATATGACACGTCCTCTCCCCCGTATAAACCTTGCATCTCCAATGTTGTTACTTTGCAGAAAATGTCAAAAAAGGCCAAAAGTAGATAAACGTTGTGTGGTGACAAGTCCCAATCTCTTTTTTTATCCTTTTTGTTGAAAAAAAAAACCCATCTCTAAAACTGCTAACAGACAGTTAAAAAAATGTCATTTAAACTGATTTATTTGAAAATATGAAAATAATGAAAAACTGAGATAGGAACTTTTAACCCAACAGGGACAATTTGATCATTTTTCTGTTGTTGCACAAACTCACTCATGTTCTTATCCTAAAAAAGAGGCCATAGAAAATCAGAGAAAATTAATTTGTTTTTGATTTGTTTTGATTACTTTATTGAGCTTCTCACAATGAGGATTTGGGCTTTCCCCATTCAAACTCGTCAACATTTATAAGGTGCTAATTTGGACAAAAAGAACAAGCCAGAGTCACACAGACTGGCCAGTGACTTTATCACTGACACCTCAGAGGCACATTTTAGGTTTGCAGCCTGCAGTTAATGAAAACATCAGGCAGCTGCTGTTTCCAAATTAAATAAACTGTCTCTCACAAAGATTTGAGTGTTTTTAGCAACATGCATTTAGTGGTGTGAGGATGGCGGTAAAGCTAGACTTTAATTTTTATTTTTCCTAGTCGGAAAGCTGTGTTTCTCACTCCGTTGCATGACAAGAGTCTGATCTCGTGGTCCTGGCTTCAGGATGAGTGAGTCGTTACCAAAAGGGTCTAGTGACGACCACTTTAAAGAAGCCCCAGATAGAAGCTGTCATTAGTTCTACGCTGGAAGACAGAGGCTACCGTTGGATGGGGCCACACGCAGAATGATATTTTGGAGACTTTCTGTTTTTGCTAGAATTCTGAATAACAATGTGTTCTATTAGAGGAGGACAGGAGAGCCATATTGCTGCAAAAACATTGCTTGGTTAAAAGGGCTAACATGGACAAGACCTAAGTGACGTCATTAATTGGTGTCGTCTGCATTTTTGAGCATATCCGGGTTTTTGGCGGTGTTTATATGGCCATGCGGAACCGGGTTATTGTGAATATTCGGGTTTTAAAAGGGTTACTGGCTGCATGTAAACACACTCAGTGTGTTTCAAAAAGAAATGGTAATTAGCTTCTAGAGTCCTGGAACCCCCCAAGGCGCTTTACAACACAATCAGTCATTCACACACTCATTCACACCCTGGTGGGGAGGAGTTACGATGTAGCCACAGCTGACAGAGGGGAGGTTGCTGAGAACTGGCGCCACCAGTCCCTCCGACCACCACCAGCAGGCAAGGTGGGTTAAGTGTCTTGCCCAAGGACACAACGACAGTGACAGACTGAGCGGGGCTCGAACCTGCAACCTTCAGATTACGGAGCGAGCACTTAACTTCTGTGTCATCGTCGCCCCAAACAGAAAACAAAACAAACAAAAACATTTCTCTGTGAACCGCACTCATAAGATTATTTCTAGGGTTATTGAGCCATAAATGACTTTAAAGGTTTATTCGATACATTTGCAGTGTTTTCTAGTGTAAATCAAAGCCTTAAAATTTGTACTGATGCTCCTGTTCTGAGATGCAGAAGTATGCTGGTTTTCAGCAGAAGTGGGCTGAAAACACAGGATTACTCATTATTATTAATGATATGCACACACCTCACTTCTGATTGGCAGAACACGTTCAGCTAAGTTGCAAAGTCACTATCACCAAGACACTCTTTACTGTATCTCCTTGCTGAAAAAAATATAAAAAAAAAGGCTTCCTGTGAGTGGGCATGAGCCAAGATGAGCGAGGCCATGAATGCAAATTCACAGTGTGACATAGATATGTGAGGATTTTCAAATCCTAGCATTTCACCGTCTATTTTCTGTTAGAAGCTAATGCAGGAGACAGGTGTAGAAGACTGTTTTCGTGTTCAGCTTGCGTGAAATCTCAGCATAACTAATTAAAATAAGAAATAATATATTTTTTCAGTCAACCACACTTTTATTAGAAGATAAATTGTGTTAAATCACCAGACAAAATCAATGAGTGCTTGAGTTAGCATCTGAATCTGTACTTTATTGATAATAGTGACCTTGATAGTGATTATGTTCTTGATTTTCTGAATTTCAGACATTTTACTGGTGTTAAAACAGCTGTGAAGTCAGGCGAAATTAGAAAACAAAGACAAATATCTCATTAATTAAAAAAACACTCAAATAATTACGTTGGTTTGTTGAACTGATTAAAGAGAATAAAAAATTACACAGACGTCATTTGAGCATGTAACTGGTCTCATTAGTGCTTTGTTGGTGCATCTGGGTTTCCATTGGTCTGTTCCCTCCCTGATCTGATGTCTTCAAGTAAAAACAGAAGATCCATGCTGTTGTAATCAGGTCCACTTTTCACTCTCAGCTGATGTGTGACTTTCACTTCCTCCTGACCCATTTTCCGTGTTTGCTCTGGATAACCTTCGATTAACTCTCCTGTCCTCGTGCACGTGAGTTCCAGAAACGTGTGATTGATTTTGTACCCCTGCAGGACATTCGATGAGTTTCTTTGTTCTTGGGACAAATGTGGGTCTGATTTGAGCCGTTCCATGAGCAGTTAAGAACCTTTGGATTATTTTGATCCAAACATCTTCAGAAGTCCTAGAAAAAATAAAAAACTTCACATGAATTGATTGCAATGACGTTTTATGCCTACCGTAAAGCATGTGCTGCTTTTGAAAGTGTACCCTTGTGAGATGAGGTGTTTCTTCCTAGTGAGAACCAGTTGTGTCTGTTGTGTATCAGGGCCTCGGCTCCGAGGCTAGCTGGAAGTGGGATATGGACTGGCAGCCAGGAGAGAAGGCCCTGCGGGATATAAAGGAAAGGAGAGAGCAGGAGACGCGACTCCTGGAGATTCAAGGGCAGCTGGAGCTCCTGGGCCTCAGCCAGGAGATTAATGTGAGTTCAAAGCTGCAACAACCATTTACACACACACACGCATGCACACACACATGCACGCACGCACACACACACACACACACACACACACACACACAAACACACACACACACACACACACACGCACGCACGCACGCACGCACACACACACACACACACATACACACACACACAGACACACACAAACACACACATGCACACAAACACACACACACACCCGCACACACACACACACACACACACACACACACGCACGCACACACATGCACACATGCACACACTCGCACACACATACACGCACGCATGCACGAACGCACGCACGCACACACACACACACACACACACACACACACACACACACACACACACACACACACACATGTTCATACTCATATTAGGAGCCCTATCTGTCAATATGGAGCGTTTAAACACTCTTACACATGTGACAAATTAGTAAAAGCACACATCATGTTCTCAGACCATCCCAGTGTTTTCTCTTCACCACAACAACCTGCTCACTTCACAGTTTACAGGAAGGTAATGTTCTCCACTGAAAGGTTCAACCTCACTATTGTGTTTAATAGCTTTTTGCAGCATTCTCAGTCAAGATCCAGTCTTCATTGCAGCGTTCCCTAGAGACATCGACCCCCTCTGGCTGGTTTTAGGATGTCTCTTCAGAGTTACAGCCAGAACTTCTTTCTCCGTAAACCCCCATCACTAAAGACACCAAGAAAGAATGTTCCACCAACAAAGTGGATACTAAACCTGATTTCTGCTTTCTCTGACATTCAGGACTTTAAATTTTATGTGCAAAGCTACAGATAAGTGTATTACTTAGCCATTGGGTAGCATCTCGTGGTGCCTCCAGTAGAAATCGTGTTGTTGACTCACTGTAACACAGGAGGATGCTGAATTTAAACTTTAAAGTACAAACAGTAAATACGTGGCAGCCACATCCTCGCATCAGAGAGCATCACAGCTATTTTTAAGGAAACCTCTCCTGATTACCGTAGAACATCAGGCCACCCAAAAGCCCTCTTTGGTTTTACGTGTGAGTCGATGCGTTTTATATGTTATCACTAAACGCCTGAACCCAGCCAGTGACTGCAGCCTGAGCAGCATATAATCTCAGTGCTAGAGGGCTTGTTTTGTGGTTTGAAAAGATTTACAGAATTTGTCTGGGAGGGCATTCTTAACCAGCCTCACGCAGCTGCGGTGCACTCATAAAGTTGATTTGTATGGCGTCCATAACTCAAACGCTCTCCTGCAGTCTTTTTTAACTTCTTGAGTGTCTACCTGTTCTGATGGTTTTTGTATGTTTTTATTTTATTATCTCTCTGGGAAATCTAGTTACTTAGCACTTTTTTTTAAAGCAGAATTGTTTTAATTCAGCCACAATGAAAAGTTTTCCAGTGTTTCTGGTAGAAAGTAAAAGTCATGACGTTCAGGTGCTAAAGCAGCAAATCGGCCCCAGACCATCACTCTACCACCACCATGTCTGGCCATTGGTGTGATAAATTCCCTGAATTTATCCAATATAAATCAGCCAATAGGAAAATTTTCTAACTAAAGTGTCTTTATGGCAATCATTGTGTGCATATGTATTTTTACCATTTAATAAGAAGCACCTGTGTGTTGGATTAGTCAGATTAATGTGATTAATCTATTAGTCTATTAATCACATTAATCTGACTAATGTGATAAAAGCACCACCTGACATGGTTTCATGTGTGCGAGGTGTGGAATCGTTTGTGCGTCATTCCTTCTCGAGATTCAATTCAAGCCAGAAAAAAAAATCACCTTTGATTTCCATTGTTCTTTTATCCTTCTAGTGTTAAAAGGTGCATATTTCTTATGACTATCATTCTTTGTGAAGTAAAATAAACATTTCCAGTATGAGAAGATAAGCAGGGTCCATTCAGATCATTTATGACACTTGAACATCTAATCTGCTGCTCTTTTTCCTGCTTCCTGATTTGGCTGCGTTCCTGTATCAACTGCAAGCGGAAGGCCAATTCCTGAATTTACTGTAAAACAGGAAAATCCAGCAGGAAAGCGAGAATCTGACCAGACGGAGGCCATCAAATTTACTTCCTCTTACTGTAAGTTTACAGAAAGCCAACAATGAAATAAGTAAAGAAATGTTTACCTTAAACAAACATCAGCTTTGCACCTCCAGCCCTCTGAAGGTGGATACCAGCCACCGTGGCAGCTGACCTGAATATGTTGGGCTCAGCATTCAAATGCAGTTGAGACCCGTCATTCTGCCAGCTCAGCAGTTTCTCTACTTTATTCTCCCTATAAAGTCGTGTTAAGTGTTCCCAGAAAAGAGGAGCTATGGAAAAAAATCATCAGCTTTCATCACGTTCTTTATTTCATTCTATTTACTTTGCTTTTTTGCCACCAGATTTTTGTGTTCTTTTTATATTTTTGAGAATTTTTTTTATAAAGAAACATTTTAAGAAGCAGTTCTTCATCAACTGACTTTTTATTAAGTTTGAACTGCAAAGGTGGGACCAAGCTCCAAGTTTTGAATCAAGTCGCAGGACCAGAAGTCTAACATTAAGACATATTAATCATTGAAGTTGAAGTCTATAACGCTTTACTTGACCAAATTAGAAGAATACTCACAGAATAACTCAGTTTATTTCCCAAACTGATGACTTATCTTTAAAACGTGTCTTTGTTTGACCATAGAAGCTAGTCTGGCAAGCCATTCTATATATGTAAATACACAGTCTGGCCACGACCGACTGGGTCGTGCGACCTAATCTACGTTGTCTTACCTGCTGTTTCTACATATAATAGGACAGCGCTAGGACCAATCAGAGCAATGTGACATATTCATCGCTATGGAAATCAGTCAACTGGGCAGTCCGCCGTACACCATCAGAGATTAAGACGCAACTACCGTATTTTCCGAACTATAAGTCGCTCCGGAGTGTAAGTCGCACCAGCCATAAAATGTATAATGAAGAAGAAACAAACATATATAAGTCGCACTGGACTGTAAGTCGCATTTTGGGGGGGAATTTTATTATTTTTCTTACAAAATCTGAGACCAGGCGTTTCACATTGCAAGACAAGTACCGATAACAATAACAGAATAAACAACGCGGGCGCAGCAGCGCGCCACAGTCTCCAGCAGAGGATGGCGGTGTTTCAAATCCTCCCAGCAGGCGGGGAGAGCTCATTCCTGGGTCGGAGCCGGCCCGCAGCAGTGCGCCACAGGCTGCAGCAGGTGATGGCGGGGCAGAGGAGCTGAAACCTGGGCCAGATCCAGTGCGCAACGGCGCGCAACAGGCTCCAGCAGGTGATGGCTGCGTGTTTTTTATTCCCAGTGGGGCAGGGGAGCTCATTCCTGGTCCGGAGCCGGCCCGCAGCAGCGCGGTATAGCCTACATAATTTGGCATATAAGTCGCAGGACCGACCAGACTATGAAAAGAAGTACAATTTATAGTCCAGAAAATACGGTACATCCTCTTTCACAATAAATGACTCATGTACGTATCGGTAGTCTGAATTGTTCTAAATTGATGTCAAAACCATTTCAAACGAGTCGTTTTTGAGCCGACGCCAACTTTGTAGTTTTTCACTGTCACAGTTCTAGTGCTAAGCCCACCCAACGTCTCTCTACAGAGAGCGCTGTGATTGGCTGGAGGGGGCTGATGATAGGCCTGCTGAAGCTGCAGTGAAACGTGTCTAGACCGTCTTGCAGAGCAAAATCAGCAAATGCAGCTTGGTGAGCAAAAACAGCAACCTGATTCTTTTATACTGAACCAACCCCATCTCAGGATGCTTTTACTTCAGAGCAACACTATGGAGCCACATGTTTTATTCTAAATTAAACCAGGTCCCAGGCCATGTGTCCTCAGCTACATCGCAGACATACGAGAGGAACATGCTCAGTGTGCACATGTGGTTTTACTGCAGCATCTTGGTTTTGGAAAATGTCTCTGGGCTCATGCATAACTTTCACATTAATGTTTGTCTTTTACTACAACCAAATGTTTCTGGAAACAGCATAATGAAAAGGGGTGAGTGTTCCTTCACTGTGTTTGCGTTCATAACTTAGCTTATTTGTAGATTCACTACCGCAGCTTGAAAGCACTTTATAAATGTTACTGATAAAATGTGAGGAATTGGTGACTGAAAAAGAGAAATCAAGAAAAGAAGTTGAATGTTTAATAAAAAGCTTTTTGAAAATTTCAAAAAACATTCCCAAAACATTGAGAATGTGTCAAGATCTAACCTTTTCTTTTCATTTATAGGTAAATATGAAATGATGAAGTAAAAACACTTTTGATACTGAACTTGTGTTTATCTGAGCTGGAGTGTGATGAATAGAATTCCTCTGTGCATTAAAGGCAAGCTCCCCTCTGGATCTGTGGCTAATTAAGTTCAGGTGTGTGTGTGTGTGTGTGTGTGTGTGTGTGTGTGTGTTTGTTTAAGGGAGCCAATTATGAGCTGTCCAGAGGCTGCGGTCCACTGTGAGGCAGATAGTTGCAAGTCTAAACAGCTCGACCTTTGTTGGATGTTGCAGAGAGGTCCAGGCAGGGCTAACTTCTTTGGGAAATCCTAAGGTGTTCCTTGGCCAGCCGAGAAACAAAGTCCCGGTTGGACAGGCCTGGAACATCTAACCTGGGAGGCGCCCAGGAGGCATCCTCACCAGATGCCCGAGCCACCTCAGCTCTCTCCTTTCAATGTGAAGGAGCAGTGGCTCTACTTTGAGCCCCTCCTGGATTACCAAGCTTCTCATCCTATGTCTCAAGCCTGTTTCACACTGAATGCGGTCTGGTTTCAATAAGGCTTCCAGACGGACTGCCATTCAGACAGACTGCAGTTCATGTGCTTGGACGTCTGGAGATCTGCTCCTACAGCAGCACCAAGTGATTAGAAATTTGACATAATATATTTGACTATATCTGTAAAAACAACACAAACTATTGTACACTGTGAACTGATATCCCTGTCAATAATAATACAACACATTTTATATGTAATTTTGTTAACTACGTGACAATCTTCATGCGGTGTCCAGACAAATAAACTCCATTCGGAAACTTTCCGGAGCTTTCCGGAGCTCCACAGCTGGTGTGAATGTTCTGATTGGAGTAAATGATTTTTGGTCTCTGCAGAAGCCGTAAAGAGTCCGGACGGCATCTGTTCTGCATGGTGTGTGTCACGCTGTGAGCAGAAGGTTAAGACCCAAATTGCAGAACACCAGATCACTCGAGGCAGGAGCGGTTGTTGGAAGTAAAATCCTTAATTTAGGATGATGGGTGAATATCCCAAGGGGCAGGAAGCCAAATTGAAAATCAGAAGAAAAAAAAAACTACAAAACAAAGCTCATTTGTTTGATTTAGTGATGAATCGCTCCTGTTGATATGAATGAAGGCTGAGGAGACATTTCAGCAGTTAGATTAAGGTGATCAAAAGACAAACGCACAGCGAGGAGATACGCTTCATGTTTGATTTCACTAACGGACACTAGCAGGTGCTAAAAGCAAGCCCAAACCACATCTTTAAGGGAGAGCCCAGACGCCCTTCTTCGAAAACTCATTTTGGCCGCTTTTTATCTGTGATCCCATTCTTTCGGTGAGTACACAAAGTTCGTGACCAACATAGAGCAAATGGTAAGACTGGCTGAAAAGAGTTGGAATCCTGTCTAGTTTGTTGTAAGAAGATCCAATGAAAAGAAAATGCTCTCATTGCTAATGAAGTCAGACATGCATAGTTGAGTTTCTCTGTTTCCATGTATGTTGATCTGAGTCCTAACAAGAGTCTCACATGTGTAACACAGCCCAACTCGTTTTGTATGACAGAGTAATCTATCAGTGACTGGTGCTGGGAAAGGAGCCGGAGGGTTTGACGGGGTGGTCTGTTCGACAGGTGATCGATGTTGTCTAATAGCTTCCTGAGACGCAGGAATGTGATTTTTGCCGTGGGTTACTCAGCAGTGAAGAGGGGGAACATAATTACACAGGGTGTGATCTTTGCTCAGGTGAGGTTGCTTAGATATGGGTCACAATACGGTGTCAACGGTGTTTTTTGTTCTGTTCAGAAAATCTCATTTCAAAGCAGATTGGGGTTGTGTTTTTAAATGTGTCCACATATATGCTGCTTAAATCTCAGCTAAACGATCCAAGACTTCCACCAAAGCGGGGGAAAAAAATCTGTTATCAATATCTTAAGAATTAGATGCAGACAAGTGGGTCAGGATGTGTTTACTTTGAAAACGGGGACATTCTGTTCAGCCATGACACCTAGAAACACACATGCTGAGAAAACGATGACGACCATCCAAACAGGGAGCGTTAATATGCCGCTCATCTGGACATGTTCCAGGCAGAACTTCCATGTCATGAAAAGCATCAAGTCCATTTTCATTCTTCAAATGGATATTCTGAGTCCCAGCTGTCTAACTAACGGAGTGTTTTCACCCCCAGGAGATGGTGACTGTCTGTGAAGACTCTTCTACAGGTTAATTCATCTTAATTGAACTTTATAATTGAAGACTTACACGTCAGGTTTTAAACACGTTTAAAAAGCCAGATAACACATAATCATTGGGAATAGATTCCGGCTTTTCCTGCTAACGCAGTTTCAAAACATTGGCTTTCTTCCTTGAACTCACATGTAGTCTAAAGCAGACAGCATGTGAGGAGCTTGGTTTATCTTTAGAAAAATAATTCTTTCTTCCAAGTGGAGTGTTTTCTTCCCCAAACTGCTTCCAACTAAGCACACGGGCTGACAGCAGTATACCACTATATTAGCCTTGAGTGCCAATCTTCTGTCAGGTTACATATCCACACAGCGCATCATCCATGTTTGTCAAAAAAATCAAGAGTTTTACATCCAGCTAATTTGCTGGGAACAAATTTCAAGAGGATGATGGGAAGATATCAGAATATATTTTCTTTATTTTTTCCCTTTTTAAAGGTTTTGTTAAAATGACTTTCATATCTACAAAAAACACATTTTAAAGTGAAACAAATGTGCATTATTGATGGATCATGTTCATTTGTGTTGTTCTGCAGAAAGAGTCACTGAATCAGGAGCCACATTGCCTGCTGGATTAACATCAGCTGACAGAATCCAGGACCAGGACCACCAGGGATGAGATGCAACGTCAGGGGACAGTTAACGACAACAAACCTGGCCCGTTTAGGGCTTCTGTCAGTTCTAATTGTATAATTAGTGATAATTTCAGTCTTAAATTAGCAAAAATATAAATACATATATACATGAGTTTTGTAAGAAAACAACATCAGAAAAAAACTGATCTAAATTTTGATAAATCATGGATTCAAGCTTATGCAGCTGGATGTAAATTTAAAAATGTGTCTTGTGAAAAGCTGTAAAAATGATCAATTAAAGGTAAAGGATCAGTAGAATACTGTCTATTTACGACTTAAAACTGTTCTTTTTACCTCTATACAGCAAATTAAACTCTGCTGGGGCTCACAATGGCCCAGGAGGCCTGAAATGTAGCCTAACTCAACCTCTTAAATTAGACCTCCAGTGAAAAGACTGGATTTCTCTGCTCACTTGGTCAGGATATGAAAATGCAATGAGCTGCTTGCCGATTGGCTGGTCAAACCAAATGGCTCCACAGCATTACATGAAGCTATAATTCTGTAAGCCACGGCCAACTTGCATATATTGCGGATGCTGAGTGGGTTGGGAAATGCAGATGTAAGGAGGCGTGGCTTGCTTATTACATTCCATGCTGTAGTACTTTTTTAAAACACAGAGCAGTTTTGTTTACCTGTTTTCCCGCTACGTTTCGTTTGCGGCTGCAAACTTCCTCAGGCTGATGCTAATGGTGGTATCACTTCCTTCTCCGTTTATCTGCGGGCAGCAGAGGACGTCGTCGCCCTCTGCTGCCCGCTCTCCCCTAAACTAAAGGAGATTACAATAGAACTTATTTAGCCGTGCACCCCCTTCTATGTGCCGACCATGTCGACGCACCCCCCAGCCCCCACATCAGGGCATGGCTATATATATATATATATATATATATATATATATATATATATATATATATATATATATATATATATATATATATATATATATATATATATATATATATATGTATATATATATATATATATATATATATATATATATATATATATATATATATATATATATATATATATCAGACGTCAAGCTAAACAGACAGGGTTAAAAAAATATGATCGACCTTTTTCCCTATCACTTTCATTTTTTAAATAGTAATTAATAAGCATTCGATACCATTACAATTTCCTTTGTTTTAATTTAAAATAAATATTTAGAGTGCCCAGGTAGCACATAAACAATGCAATTTAATGGTTTTCTTAAAGTAGGAACGTTTAACCTGTGCGGCCAGAGCGCTCTCCTTCCTTCTGCTCTGCGTAAACCTGAGCTGGTCACCTACTTGTGCGTAATCAAATGTCTATAGGGGAAAATATGGAAAAGCTATAGCCATGAGGTTCACTTTTGCCTCAGACTGACTTATTGCTGTTTTATGGTGTGGCTGAATCTGCGATCCGCTGCCACACGGACTGGAATAACAAATGCTGCAGTAACAGGCGTTGTGGTCAGGTTCGGAGTCACTGGCTGGAGCGGACCCGACTTTAATACGTCATCCCAAAAAAAGAAGCTATGAAAAATGTTGTTATAAAACCTCTTAAAAGTTTTTATCACAGAGGAGGCAGCGCTCATTTCTGCCTTCAGCCTGACGGCGCGCCGGAGTTTGCGCAGCGTGCGCGCTTATTGAATCTGTGTGTGTGTGTGTGTGTGTGCGGCACAGCTCCATGAGCCGCTCAAGTCACCGCGTCTCGTTATTGGCGCTATTTAAACCAATGTTGTAAAATAACTTCTGCCCAGCCCAGATGTGCTCACATGTGCACCTGTGAGCCGTGGTTCCGCTGGAACGCGTCTGACCTCTGACAGACGCACTCTGAACTTCAGATCTTCAGCGTGCTGTTAATATCCTGAATGGGAATCATTTCTTGTTATTTAGTTACATCCACAATGTTCTGTGTGTGAGGTTTACAATGTCAGAACACCTGCATGAGACAGGTGTTAATTACAATCTGCCAGAATGACTCACCACCTTCAGATTCCTCCAACACGTTAAAAATGATCAAATACGGAACATATCGGCGTGCGCAGGCCAGAGTGCTGAAGCTCGGCGCATTGTTATTATGAAGCTAGGGCACATGTGGAGGACACGCACACACACACACACACACACACACACACACACACACACACACACACACACACACACACACACACACACACACACACACACACACACACACACACACCTACACACACCTACACACACCTACACACACACACACACACACACACACACACACACACACACACACACACACACACACACACACACACACACACACACACACACGCAAAATATACTTGTTTTCAATTACATTTATTGTGCCCACTTACTTTTTCTTAGGCCCACCCACAAATGAGTTTCTGGCTACGCTAAAGGTGACATATGACAGACTTCTCTGAGCTCCGCAGCCATTACACTTTTCACCTCGCGCACCCCCTAGCGGCAGCCATAGACATAGTAGTTAACAGAATCAGACAGGACAAGACTTTACACAAAAGAACAAACCTCACAGCAGATGACATAGCACGCCTGATAGGACTGGTAGCTAACTCCACTTACTTCACATATGACAACACAATATACAAACAACTGGAAGGCTTCGCCATGGGTAACCCGTTATCAGCCACCCTGTGCGAGTTTTTCATGGAAGACCTAGAACTAAAAGCCATAGCCACTGCCCCCCAAACTGCAAAATAAAACTATGGAAACGCTACGTAGACGACATACTGGAAATCATACCAAAAGGACAAACAGAAACAATAACACAACACTTGAATAACATTGACGACACGGGCAACATAAAGTTCACTTATGAGTCAAAACGTCCTCTGCTGCCCGCGGATAAACGGAGAAGGAAGTGACACCACCATCAGAGTCAGCCTGACGAAGTTTGCAGCCGCAAACTAAACGTAGCGGGAAAACAGGTAAACAAAACTGCTCTGTGTTTTAAAAGAGAACCACAGCATGGAATTAGAGATACGACACAGCAAGAACACACCTAAGTTGCTTATTACATGTTTAATCAACTTTTCCCATAAGCAACATTACTAACGTGCACAGGAAAGCAGGTTGGGGACGGCACAGGCTTTTGGTCAGCTTTGTTAGACACCCCAAGCTGCCTATGTTCAACAACAACAAGGTAAATGTGGTTGTAAATTCTACTGCCCTTTAAAGAGCAAGTCACCCCTAAATAAACTTTTTTTTGCTGATAAACTAAATAAACGAGTGTCTAATCGTGCTGCAGACACATGTAGTCAATAATTTGGCACTTCAGTGCATCTTAGTTAAAATTTAAATATTCTGCCTAAAACTGGCAGTGTTCTGCCATTGTCAGGTAAAAACTCTGCACTATATTTGAATTTAAATCTGCCACCGCTATTGGCTAAGAGGTATGCTATGATGTAAACTGGTACATTATGATGTCACAATGCTGTCGTGAGCCTGTGTGTATGTGTGTATTTGTTAGCAGCTCCGCCCTCTCGGTCTGCCAGGCAACAGCATTTATTGCATTTTTCAAACATGAAGTGGGAGTGGAGTTAGACTCTGATAGGGGGTGACTTGCTCTTTAAGCAATTTTAGGCCTCTTTATACATTTCCAGCTAAAGATTCCAAGAATTGCAACCGTTCCAGCTGCTTCTACTAACCACCTGTTCACGGGCTTGGATTAGTAGGACCCTGTGAAACTGGACCTTGTGTGAGCTTGGTGTTCATTTAAATGTATGGATTCCACTGCCAGCTTTAGGAATTACGCTTTCACATTGGTTCATTTGTTTCAGTTTGCACCGTACACACCTGGTTGACCTTTCGCCCTGAGGCCTTGTCTTTTAACTCTTCAGACACTGGTCCCCTATGAGCATGCTCACCTCCATCATCACCTCCTCATGGCAGCGGGCTCTCACATTCCTCTTTGCTCTAGACTAATGGCATAAATCCTACAAGGACACCGGTGCAGCATTATCCGCCACTGCCAGGGACTCCAAACAGATGCCCCAGAGATGGCTTTCAGGAAGCATATGCTACCACTTTTCAGACTGATTTTACCAAATGGAAACAACGTTCTTCCCTTATTTTCAAAGCTTAATTTTTATACATATATTGTGTGTAACCCACACAATATGTTTCCAGAGTGGAAGATCCTGTATACTGCTCAGTTTGGGTAATGGAAACCCAATGAGCTCATTATGGTAAGAATGATGTCACTCCTAATGTAGAGACTTGCAGCTAACTCAGACGGTTCACGTTATGGATTTTTTTCTTCAGCTTTTTTGACTATTTGAGCAAAATTTTGCTGGAATTTTGTTTGCAGATGACACATTGGTGCTGTTTTTGAATGCTTGGATGGCTCATCTGTCTTTATAGGAAAACAAAAGAATTTCAAGGCACATTCCAAAATGGATGCCACCTGAAACCTCTGAGTGATCCCTTTTAAAATAGTTTTATCACAATGTACATTTCCTTCTGTCTGCCACTTTTAAATGTAGCGCCTGTATATGTTTGAAAAGTGAATGATGCACCACTTAAGTGGGTCTTCACGCTGAGTTTGTCTGCAGTTCAATCCCAAAGATTATAAATGTAATAGCCCTCACTAGACTCCAGTTACTCATCTCCTTTTTGAATTTCCTGGAGAAGCACCATCATCAAATATGAAATCTGTCACACCCTGTCCTGTCTCCCCGTTTTGGTTCAGCCTTGTGTCTCGTTAATTGCTCCCACCTGCCTCTCGTTTCCCAATCACCTTAGCTCCCTGCCCTCGTGTATTTAAGCCCCTTCTGTTCTGTGTCTTGTGTCGGTCCATTGTTTCATTGTCCAGCGTGTCTCACATTAAAATCAGTATTAAGAATCCTACCTGTCTGCCTGTTTCCTCCCCGGTCTGGATCCTCGCCTCACCTCGGCTTCACTCACCGGCGCGCGTGACAAAATCACTGTCAAAGTTTTGTTTGCCAAATACAGATAAGCTTTAAATCTCTTTTGAAAGAGTTTATTATCTGACATTACAAAAAAAAACAAAAAAACAAACAAACAAACAAAAAAAAAACAGGGATACAAACAGCATTTTGAGTAGAAACTATGGTACAAATGTTTATAGAAAAAAGCTTCAGTAATAAAAAAAGGACATAAAAGACCAAAACAGACATCCTCATGTCACTGTGCAAAAACGTTTATACAGATAGAAATGCTTCCATGAGAGGTTACACCTCTAGATAAATTATTTAAATAGCATATATCTACACAAATAACATAAACTGAATAATTTATCAAGAGCACAGGAAATACATATAGCAAAGAAAAAAAAACTGTCAAAACAACACATGTGACTCTTTCCCGTTTAGCTTTTACTACAAAAATATCTTCTATACAGCATAACAAAGATACAAAAATTGCTTTAAAAAGAGCCAACATATTTATAATCTATTGCTATGACAAGTGAGTCTTACATATTGCTGGCCTCAAGAAAAAAAATGAGGTAATGTTTGTACATAAAGGGCTCCCCCATTGTCAGAAACACTCACTCAGACGCGCCGGTCATGCACTCTGTGCTGAAGCAGAATACTTTTCTATTTTACTCTTGATTAGAAGTGACTTGAAAATATTTAGGGGATATAACACACTGATTGTGATATGTAACCATAGTAAGTTGAGCAAGTATAAGGAATAGGTCTGCAGAAACAGAGACCCATTACTGCAGAGTTCAGTAAAAATAAGAAATATTAACACATAACTTGCTTTTTTTGTGTATCAAAGCAGTGTTTTGTGTCTGCCTTGGTGCACCGTGCCGTCCTGAATTTTCTGCTCGTTCTTTCCTGAGAGGAGCAATGCTTCGGGCCAGCTCTGCTACACGTCTGCAACAACTCAAAAGGAGCTGGTCTTGGTTTTCTTCATCACTATGCTTGTTGGGTGGCACAAAAGCACAAACACACAGCATTCACTCGCTCTGATAGTAACAGTCATCCCTACTGTCCGTGGTCCCTTAATAGTTCCTTCACAGGGAATCTTTACCCCAGCCTAAAAAAAAAAGGTCACCCACTGCCTTCTTCATACTGAGCAACGCATCTTTAAGTCCACAGCAGATGTATGTTAATGCTCAAAAATATTATAAAAACACATACGCAAAAAATACAAAATAAAAACATTAAAAACTCTTCCCTTTCTTTCCTCATCCACAGAGGAATAACAGTCCAGGTGTGCAAAGCAAAAATAATCTTAAAATTAAAAAAAAGGTGGCCCTCTTTTGATAGAGATCAGCTGATAAAGTTCACTTCTTTGTGGAGTTTGGTGCAGTTTTAACTTTCATTTGGCTTGAACTCTTGAGGTCCTTTTCCCCAAGTCTGCTCACTTGCTCAACATATTTCCGACGTGCATTTCTCCAAGAAAAACGCTCTACTGGAATCGATCCATGCAGGTCATTAGTTATTGATCTGCACTGGTACATTCTTCTGGGAGGTTCTTGGACGCAGTTATGTGTCTGAAAGAACAAAGACCATGAAACACGTTTAAAATTCAAGTCTAAAATGGTGATAATCTGTTTTAAAGTGTTGAGCCGTTAATCAATTGCTTACCTCTACATTCATATTTGAGGTCTGAGAAGTAAACCATCTCTTGAGAGAAGACATACAGGCCTAGTCGCCCACCAGCATATGTTTTGTCGTAGATGTTTCCAGAATCAGCCATGATTCTCTTTCCTTCATACATCACCACTCTAAGAAAGACACAAATCCATTCACATTAATTATGCCATTTCGTTTTTAATGTATCTGCTCTTAAGCAAGGATTGGAACTCACCTAATAAGTCCAGACTTGGGTCTGTGGGTGAGATGCCATCTGTAGGCAGTGAAATCCTTCCATCCAATGTTCTTGGGGTCATGCCACAGAGTGCGCACCTGAAAGTTTCAAGAGTTAAAATGGAATTAGTCTCCACCATTATCTTATGTCTTAAGCTGTTAGTCAATGAATCTGGACATACCTGTCCTGGAGTGTCTCCAGTGTGCCACAGGGCATTCCTCAGGTGTTCACCAGGCCCAGTGGTGGAGTTGACCACTTTGATTGATAGGCCAGAGTATCCTTGAGCTCTTGTTGGTGTGTGAGACCAATAGGTCTGTGTGATCTGTTTCCACATCACTGTGTAGAAGCGAGAGCTGGACTGGTAGCCAAACACGAACCCAGCATAGTCATCATCCCTGTCTGTGTTGATGAAGAACGTCCCACTGAAATCCACGGCGCTGAACTCATCATAACCTGAGTAGAAATTCAGGTTGTTAGGAACACTTTGCATTCATGCACTTGGCAACGTCATTTTGTCCATCTTACTTACCAACAGCAATGCCGGGGTCACAGTTGACAGTCTGCACCAACTCTTTGCCTTGATGTCTCACCACCCAGTTAGGATCAATCTGAGATGTACCCTTGGGGTCCAAAGGAACCATCTGGAATCTGCGGAAGTCTGTTTCACTGATGGCAAAGTTCTCAGGGCACACATCATAGATGTCCAGGACATTGTCTTGGTCAAAATCGTCTTTGCAGATATCTCCACGACCATCACCTGAGAAACATTTGGACATGGAATGAGAAAGTTCAATACTACAAACTAAAATCCGCTAAATGGCAGATTTACAACAAATGTTTGCAGAGCTTACCATCAGAGTCCACCTGATCAGGGTTAAAGGCGAGTCGGCAGTTGTCCTTTTCATCAGGGATTCCGTCATTGTCATCGTCATGGTCACAAGCGTCTCCCTTGCCATCCTTGTCATGGTCTGCCTGGTTGGCATTGGGGATGTAAGGACAGTTGTCCAAGTTGTTCTGGTGACCGTCCTCGTCAATGTCCTGGTTGTTGTCGCATTTGTCACCGATGCGATCTGAGTCAGAGTCAATCTGTGGGCGAACAGAATTCCTTTATGATGAGATTCCCATAAGCCAGCTCCTCACACTGGGAGAGAGTTGTCCTCACTTCAAATAAGCCCCCACGTCTACTGCATTTCAACAGCCCTCATATGAGTTTTCACCCTGGATATAAATGCTTGCTCTTGTTTTCAGGTATGCAAGCAATGTCCCCACGGACAAATGTCCTATGTCTTTGGATCTCATTAAAATAGTCTTTTTTAACTGAAGATGGATGAGCATAAAAGCAAAAGTATTAAATTCCTCCATCACAGCTATCACATTCCTTTCTTTCACGAAATTATTTCTGTGTTAACCTGTCTTTCTCACTAAATTAAACCATGCCAGTCAGGAAAACTTTAAAGTAAAGGTGAAATATTGACTTCACCTGATCTGGATTGTGCTCCAGAGGACAGTTGTCACAGTGATCTCCCACCCCATCTCTGTCCGTATCTCTCTGGTCCACGTTGTAAACATATGGGCAGTTGTCATGCTCATTTAGAACACCTGTTGAGTGAAAAAGTCTTAATGTCTCTTTTCATTTAAGATTAAGATAAAACAATTCCTTGGATTTAATGTGGAGAGACCACTTACCATCGCCGTCGATATCAACAGCACAGGCATCTCCCTCTCCATTGTTGTCTGTGTCTGTTTGGTCGGTGTTGGCTTCAAACACACAGTTGTCGCAGCTGTCACCAACATCATCCCTGTCTGCGTCATACTGACCGGGGTTGTACACCCTTGGGCAGTTGTCCTAGTTTTATAGAAAGAAAAATTAAACTTAAACAACATGACTAAAGGAGGTTATTTGTATAAGAGCCTAATTGTGCTTTCCTGGTTTATGTTTTGGCTGAAATCTTGTATTCCACTAGTGACTTTTCCCACATGCATTTTTCCTGCCCAACTTTCCAAATCCACACCAAGCATTAAGGGCAACCAGCCACCTCATCCTCAGTTCTGGCTTCATGTGAAAATTATAGTACATTATTCCTTCGCATCTGACTTTCCACTGTAACTCTCTGGTGAGAGCACACACACTCGAGCACTTTGCATTCTCGTTACCCAGAGGAAGGATGGCTACAGCTGATTACTATGTGTGGTCTCTGAGGAGAGAATGGTTTAGAGCTAAAAGAACCTCCAAGATAACTAACCCTATCATCCGGGATTCTGTCATTGTCATCATCATGGTCACATTCATCACCAAGGCCATCTTTGTCATGATCTTCCTGGCCAGAGTTGGGAATAGTGGGGCAGTTATCCTATAGAGGAGATGAAGAGAGGTTAAGACGGGAATCCTCACAACACTAGGGTGTGTCTGGGTTATGATGGTTTTGTCCATGTGGGGCCAGGTTACCTTTTTGCAGTGATAGGTGGCGTTTTCCACACATAACAGGTCACTGTTGGGCCATCCGTCCAGGTCAGTATCCTCTCCGCAAATCCGACCATTCCCAGCATACCCTGGTCTGCACTCACAGCGGAACATCGACTCAGAGTAAACGCCCAAGTAGATGCAATTTGCATTTTTATGGCAGTCGTGGCTACCGTCCCTGCACGGGTTACGAGGAGTGCAAACCTAAAGAAAATTACAGAGCGTTAAAAATGCAAATTGCTTATGTACAAGCCACAACCACAGCAAATAAATAACAACCCAAACCTGTTTTTTAGCCGTTGCTTGCTCCACCCCCCTTCCGAAAGGTTGAGGACCAGAGAATCGTGCAGGACAGGGAAGACAGTTGTACCCTGGCTCAGTATTCTCACAACGATGAATGCCGTTATTAGTGTGGCAGGCATCTGGAACTTCTTTGCACTCATCAATGTCTTTGCATGTGACTCCATCACCAGTGTAGCCAAGTGGGCACTTGCCACACGCAAAAGAGCCATCAGGGGAGCTGGTGCACTTTGTGCCAGGGAAGCACGGGTTGGAAAGACAACCATCTGAAAACAAAAATAGGTTTTACTTTAACATAATTGGATCACTTGAGAATTTTGTTGGATCTTTTTCTTAAATTTTGGACACTTACCAATTGGGCAGTCTTGCTTGTTGCAAACCCGAACCATAGCAGCATCACCAACACAATCTTTTCCACCATATTTGGGCGCAGGGTCATTGCAGTGGTGTTTTCGTGTTTGGATTCCACCGCCACAGGTGACAGAACAGGTATCCCACGGTGACCAAGGTCCCCATCCTCCATTGACTGGAGCAATTTTAAACAACAACAGTTATTTTGCTCTGAACATATACAGTCTGAATCAAATGCTTTGATGAGAATAGCAGACTCACCAGGGCAGGGAGACATTTGGCAGACTTTGGTGTGGCGTCCCTCTCCTTGGCAGTCCCTGCCGCCCATCTGTGGTGTCGGGGAGTTGCAGAGGCGGATTTGTGTCATGACCCCTTCACCACAGGTCACAGAGCATGAAGACCAGGGTGACCAGTGGCTCCAGCCTCCATCCTGTTTGACTAAACAAAGCATAAACTCTCAATTCATCATGTTGTTGCTGACATAAAGGAGCAGTGTTAAAAGCGTTTAGAGACTCACAGCGTTTGTCACATTCCATCAGGTAGCAGTCACGCGTCTGGACAGAAGTGCCCTCACACTTGCTGTTGATGCGGTCACAGGAGCGTCCACGCTGCTGGATGCCACGGCCACAAGTCGCCGAACAATGAGTCCAGTCCGACCAGGCAGACCAGCCATCCTCCGCGTAATCACTCGCTGTGGAAGATAAGAGATAAAGTTAGAGAGAGTTAAAGAAACGCTCTGGATTCATGGGATTTAATAGAAACATACGTGTTCCGCAGCGAGGACAACATTCTCCATCAGGAACGGTGGCATTTGCACATGGGATGAGCGGGCAGGAGATTTTGCGACACACAGTAGCAGAGTTCTGTAATGTAAACAACGAGCGTGCTGCTTTGTTAATTGTTTCAGAGCCTTAGTATTGTATTATAAAAACGTTGGCCTCTGGCTCAAAGGTCATCCTGAAGGTGTGGTGATGCTTACCTGGCAGGTACACTCGGTGCAGCCATCAACCGTCCATTCATCCTTGTCCTTGTGCACGATGCCATTATGGATGCAGATGCCGCTGTGGATGTTCATCAGATTTTTCAGGAGCTGGCCATCTGTAGACTGAGAAAAGAAGATGGAAATCGTTCACTTTGCCAAGGTTGCAACACAAATGAATCCCCAACCGGCACTGTGATTAAGATGGAGATGGAGTCTGGTGAAGCACTGAAAATGTGACCATTAGCCAAACATATTTGTGCATTCACATGGGTCTCATTAAGGGTTTGGCTTTTACAGCAACAAGTGGCTGCACACACTGGATATGTGTTAACGAAAAGGAGGAGGAGGAGGATGCAACAAGACAACACAGTGCAGACCCTGAGTGAACTCACCACTTTCTCAAGTTCATTGGACAGCCTTTTGACGATCACATTGAGTCCTCTGAGTTCCTTAAACATGCTGGCTATGTCATCACATGAGAAGCCACAGACAGACTGCAGATCTGGATGGGAAGAGGCCAATAGATGATCTCAACACTTGAAGCTGAGGAGCGGACCAGAGACTCATAGGGGAGGGGAGGCTCACCTTTGGACTTGTGGCCGGTGTAATCGGTCCTAATGGCAGGGCTGGAGCCATTAACTGGGTTGTCCAAGGTCATGACATCAGTTAGGGCTGCTATAAATTAGGAGAGGTTAAAGTGATTTCTTTAAATTTGAAACAGTCAATAAGCACAGATTTTACTTACCCCCACTTTGGCATCCCTTATTTCTCAGTATGGCATCTAGAGTGGTACCGAACACAAAGTGCACATTCTGGAGAACGCCCTTCAAGATAAAAAAAGAGGAAAAACGTTAACTTAAGTTATGACTTTTACAAGATTAATTGAAGTTGAAGTTGAAATTATTCTTACCATAAACCTGTCCTTAGCAGCCCCCTTTCCAATTCTGAGTCTAGCGATGTCTGCCACCTCCCGGGACAGCACCGTCTGGATTGGAACATCTAACTCGGACACGTTGATTTCCTCACAGCCAACAAACAGCTGAGCCCTGTCCTCCTGAACAAACAGTGTGATGTTCTTCCAGTGTCCGGTGGCTAAACCCGCATCTTCTATAGAAAACACCTGCAGCTGGTTTTCAGTGGAGTAGACCAAATCCAGGGTGTTTGCCTTCCCATTGGAGATGACCTCAAAAACCGGTCCAGATCCGTCGGTCTTCTCAATGGTTAAAAGGCTGCCTCTGTTTTTCTTAAACTGCTTCAGATTGACCAAGAGGAGAAAACCTCTCTCAGCCTGGATGGAGTCGAGGAGGTCCCTGAAGGAGCTGTCGGGGACCGGGGGGATCAGGTCTGCATTCAGGACTTTGTATGCGGGGCTGTATGGCTCTGCACCTTTAACCAGACTCACTCCATTGTGTCTTTTATTTACCCGAGCCAGGTCAAATAAATCATACACACTGTTGTCATCGCGGCTCTCTGCATTAACAGAAAACAAAACAACTCATAGATTTACATTTTTAAAATGCTTTTAAAGACATTAAATAACTAAATTATCCTGTCAACATTAAAGCTCTTAAAGGAATACTTTTTTTTCTCACCTGCCAATCTCGCACTCTCACAGCTCCAAAGCATCAGCAGCAAAAAGATGCCCCACAGCATCATCTCGAAATCTAAAGAAAACACCTTTAATGAATCAACAAGAAAAGCCAAATGTAGGCTCCAAAAAGCAATAAAAATAAAAGCTTTCTACCGACCTTTGAATGAAAAAAGTCTTAAAATAATAAAAGTAATAATAGTCCACGCTTCTGGTAAAAAGCCTCTTCTTTCAGTCCCTAAATGAGTAGGTTATTATAAAATCGCCAAGTCTCCGTGGGCTCCTTTTTTATCCCGATCCCTCCACTTACTCCACTGACTTGTGCTTCTTTCTGATGTGCTATTTAAATGCACTGAGGACATTCCTGAGCTGGTTTGGACCAATCGGATGGCAGCAGGAGTGAAAGGGAGGGACTTGTTATCTTACCTCACAGCCAGTCAGAGTAATATCCGAGACGCGCAGAGGGAAGACAAAATATGCATTCCTGAGCCCAATTTCCATCACCAGACAAATATTTCATCTGCGCACACTGAAGCCAGGACTCAGCTCGTTTCCGGTCAAACAGAAGCTGGACTTCAATGTTCCTATTATGTCATTTTTATAAAATTTAACTATCATTGTTGGGAAAAAAAATCTAATATTTACTGTATTTTGTTGTGATGTATTGAATAAATGCAAAATGGGGAATCAATCAAGACTAGATAAGTCTTTCAGCGTTTGTTAGGCTTAATTTTTTACATGTGTTAATCTGATCCGACTCATCAAGTGGCAGCAGACTGTTAAACAGTTCAAGCTCAAGTTGTTGTTAACGATTTGGCCACCAGGGGGCTCACTGAGTAAAGAACAAAGTGTGCTGGAGAGGCTGAAGGAGGTGGAGGGATCTTGCCTTTGGGTGTCTCTGAAATCTATTTAAAAGCTTGTTCAGCTGCAGCACGTTTTAAAAAGCGGACATTTCTGATTGCATGTTAAAAAAAAGGTTAACCTCCCTGTCACCTTAAACTGGATATTTTTGGAGTTGATTGATTGGTTTCAAGTCAAATTCTGAACAGGGATAAGTCATTTTGCCACAAATGCCTCACTATCATTACATCGTTGCTGTGCGGATGTACAGCTTAATCATCAGCCTTTCAAGTTGGCCACAAACATGATAAAATATCACGTTAGAAGATATGTCTAGGCAGGAAGGGGATGAAAACATGGCAGGTAAATGATAGTGGTGTCATTTGCTGAAGCAACCCGACCCTAGGCTTACACATATAGGATGGCTTGCCAGGCTAAGGGGTGACATTAATTGTAGAAAATATAAAGAAGTGATACAGAACATTAGATCGGATTACCTTACTGATTTTTAAACGATTTATGTTCGAAAAAAAGTTATCTTGAGCAAAACTGCCTTAAAATTTAGAGCCTTTTATTTAAATACACATGCTCTTTAGGGATCTTCTTCACTTAATCAAATTGCCTCTACAAAGCTGTAAAACACTACTTTACTGCGAACAACTCAGACATTGCTCAGCATTGATCACGTTTCAGAGAATCCGTGGATTTCTCCCCACTTTTCCACCAGTTTCTTAGAAATTCTGATGTCCCTGTTCTGAAAAGGATTAATGTTTATGGCTCAGCTTTTACCCTTTGACCTTTTCTCTACCCCCTCTGCTCCTTTTTTTCACCACAAATTAAAGCCAGAGCTCCTGGCAGAAACCTGGTTCCTCCTCACGCTTCGCACCAGCCTGCGTTAAGTTAATGAGAAAGACAGCTGAGGAGCGAGAGTGAACGTGTGACAAGACAAAAATGTTCTGGAAAGTCGAGGGAACTCAGAGGCGCCTGCATGCTGAGATAAACTTTGCTCAAAAACCGAGGGCCCACCGGGCTAAAAATAGACCGTAGAGTTCTGATCCTGATGAGAAACAACATGTGGATGCCAGTTCTTCAGTCAGGAACACACGTTTACTTTATTATCGTTGTTGTTTTTGTGACAAATTGGTTTTAATGTGTGTACTGCTCACCGTGGTGAAGCATAAGCCTGTACAGGAAGTGATGGGGCAGAAGGGAGGTTTCACAGGTCAGATCAAGTGGAAAATGGCTTCAGGGCTGTGAAATGGGATCAAGGTGGGACGGCTTAATGCAGAGGAATTCAGGAGACATCACGGGTAGGTGTGACTGGACACTTCTCCTCTGTGTGAGCTCACAGTGTGGGAAGAAACTTGCCAAGACCTTATTAATACCTGCCAAACAGAAACGGAAGCAACCCTTAGATAGAAAGTGTTTACCTTGAACATGTTCCCTAGGATTTTCTTCCATCTGTTGGAGCTCAGAATCGGTGTCAGGAGGAGGGAGGCCTATTGTACCTAATCACAGTCTGGACGACTCCAGATAAAGCAGTTTCACACTGTTTTGTCTGCACTTTCTGACTAAGCAGCTGTGTCAGTTACTCTACATCCATGCAGAAATATTTATAATTATGTATAACGGGTTCAGAATAAAGGGGTTATGTTTTAGACTCAGATTAACTGCCTGGTCTCAGATCTGTTTATTTAAGCTGTTGATTATTAGCCGATCCGATCAATGGCTAACACACACACACACACACACACACACACACACACACACACACACGCACGCACGCACGCACGCACGCACACACACACACACACACACACACACAGTGAGATTTGTGACATGGTGCATTATCTTGCTACAAGCAGCCATCAGAAGATGGGTCAACTGTGGTCATGAAAGGGCAGACAAGGTCAGCAACAATACTTGGTAGGCTGTGGTTTCTAAAGCAGGATCAGTCGGTACTAAGAGGTTTGAAGTGAAAGACACATTCCTTGTAGCATCACAACTACTGTCAGGGAAGATGAGACACAACACATCTGTTTCAATAGGAAAAACCTGGATCAGTCTAAGTTGATGAATCAAGACTTTACAGACTTTAATCTTCTTTGTAAAGATGCGAGAACCTTTTGAAAGGATATCGTTGTTAGAGAAAATAAATGTCATTTTGACAGCTAGATGGTGATGGCAACTTTATTCAATGAGGAAAACCTTCAGTAACAAGGATTAGAAGAGTGGCTGAAAAAGAAAAGATGCTAAAAGGATTTGGACACTCCAAACGTTTCTCCGGATGCACAAGATCTCGGGTTTTGATTTGGAAGCAATAAGCAGAGTCGGAAGCAAACGTTTCCGGGAAGGTTTCTGAAAAACTGTCAAAACTTACTGATCCAGTTTGGTCAAATTTCAGTACTTTTGCCAGTAAGGAATAAAAAATACAAAGAAAGTTGTATGAAGCTTGGAGAAAATGTCTTGAGAAACTCTGAGGATGTCATTGCTGCCAAGGATGCTTTAGCCATTAGGGTTTTAAATGCAAATTTGACATCGAGAGGAGCCAGTAGAGGTGTCTTGGGCATTTGACTAGGATGCCTCCTGGACGTCTCCCTGGTGAGATTTTCCGGACACGTCCAACTGGAAGAAGACCTGAGGGAAGACTCAGGACACACTGGAGGAACCATGCCTCTCACCTGGCCAGGGAACGCCTTAGGATTCCCCCAGAAGAGCTGGCCCAAGTGGCTGGGGAGAGGGAAGTCTCGTCTTCGGCTGCTGCCCCGCGACCCGCATAAGCGGAAGAAAATGGATGGATGGATGCAAATGTGAGACAGATTTTCTTTAATTTTTGTAAATCCTTCATTTTTTTAATTACTGTTTTTTACATGAAGTATTTACATATATGGAATGGTTTTTTAACCCTCCCACTGTCCTAATGGGTGTGACCCCGCGAGGAAAGTTGACCATTGAGCAGGGTTGATGGTTTATGGTCCATGTGGCAGGGGTGAGGAGTGATCACCACCTCCCCCCTGCCACATGGACCTCAAGGGATAAACCATCAGTCCTGCTCAATGGTCAACTTTCCTCATGGGGTCACCCATAAAGACAGTGGGAGGGTTAAAACAACCGAATCAGAAAGTGAAATTAAACTTGCATGCATGCATGTAAAGTTAAAGTCAAAGTTGTTGTGCACATAGTGTGATGTAAATTTGTACAGAAACAAAATGCAAGTTATCTCTACTAAATTAATAAAGTAGTGGGATTGTTTTCACTTATTTGTTTGTTAACTCCTGCCTTGATGGGTTTTTCCATAGAAAGTTGCATCAGTGATGTGCTTATGACACCATGACCGAAGCATGTTGATAATCTAATGATGGACAGTTTATAAGATTCACTTCAGGGGAAATGTTACACAAACACTTGCTGCTATCCTAATCGATTCAAGCGTAGACAAGAAATGTGTCTCGACAATGAACGAATAAACGTCAGTCACCTTTAACCTGGACTGGTTCCATTTTAATGTCCCCCGCAGCTTGTTTTCTTATCGCAGATTGATGCCAAAGTGTAGTACCAGCATGCAATCACAACTTTTATTTGGCAAACCGCCTCGACTAAATACATCACTGTTCAGATCATGCCCAGCAGCACAAGGCTGGGTAAGGCATGTAAAAGGAGAAAAAAAACTGGACAATGGGAGTGGAAAAAGTGAGTAAGAGGCCAGAGTGGTGACACACAGAACACGGTGAGTCACTTATAAAGTTAGAAAATGTGTCACGTTTGAGTTGATAATAGACCAAACTTTCTAAAATCAAGTTTGTTTGCAATAAGACACAAAACAAATGTCATCAGTTAAGTTATCAAATATGAGGAAAACTGAATAGTTTGAATCTTTCAGCTGTTTTGTCCCCTGCACTTAACAAAGGAACTAAAATGACTTGGACGGGTTCAAAGCTGTAAATCATATACCGTAAATCCTCTAATACAGGCCCGGGCCTGTATTTGACTCAAGCTCATCAAGCTCCAGGCCTTTATTGGAAGGAGGGCCAGTATTAGAGACAGGCCTCAATTTCTATTTGAGCAAAATTAACTAATGGTTCGCTGGAGTTTTTGACAATTAAAATTACGCCCACATTTTCAAAGTTAAACACATCTCTTTTAACAACGCTAGTTTCTGCTTCAGCCCTCTCCCCCCCTCCCCCCTCCCCCTGCGCAGCAGCCGCAAACTCACTGATGCGCCTGCAGCCTCTCGGAGTTCCTGCTGCTCTAAACATTAAAATAATTATTTCATTTTCTGTTCCTCACTTCTGATTACCTTCAATGGTGTGTGTTTGTTGCAACCACCAGGTACAAAAACTAACTTGTTTTTATTTGACTATTTTTCTGTCCTTCCTGTTTATTATCTTCCTGCATCTCCTCTCAATCCTAAAGAGAAACTGCTACCTGGGTTCATATATATTCACCTTATGAGTTACCTTTGAACTGCAGTTCTAAAAGATCTACTGA